CATTGAGCTAGTTTCAGTACTTAGCCTGTCCATGTGAATCTAGCCTGGCCAGTGCAACCTTCAGAGCTTTTTGGAAGTCTTGTCCGGCCACAATCAAATTCTTCAGAAATGTGACGAGGGAGAGGGGTGTTGGGTAGAAGAAAGTGTGTAGAGAAGTGTTTATCAGGTGTTTTTCTAGATTGAAAAACCAGGTTTTAAGCTCTGAAACTCGATTTCCTCTTTTTTGTGTCAAGGAATAAGGCTTGATCGGCCCCAACAAGATTCAGTCCCAGACTGGACCTGTCTGCCGTAGATCAACGGCTTGTCCCACCTCACTCAGGTCTATTAGAACTCTCTTGCACCCCAGAAAAGAGGTGAATCGGACTCATATTCAACCGTTGGACTTTTACAGATACAAGCAAGGTAGTAAAAGGATAACCTTGACAACAGAAAGGTAAACATCAAAATAACGCCGAGGCTTGACGGTGCTCAGCCTATCAGTTGAAAAGCTTTTTCTTCTTTCCTTCTTATATATCTTTAACAGATACTTATCACTTGCGATCATTCAGGAAAACTCCCTCGCCGTGTCAAACACCCGAGCGTTAAACCCTCTTGGTCCCAAACACATGCAGTACAAGGGACCATGAGTCATGGTAGCACTTTTGGAGCCGGAATCTGGAGTGGATATGTACTATAGAAATATCAAAGTGCTCGGCTGGCTATGTAATCGCTAGCTGTTGTCCGATCGGCCCTTGAAAGATCCCAGAAACATGCACTTTCCAAGCCTGCCTATTCAACCCATTCCTCAATAATGTACAGCATTCTAAAGGATGAAAAATGAACAAAAAAACTAATTAATTAACAATTTGTGCTGTACTATGGAGATATCATCCCGCTATTGGCTACGGAATCGTTGGAACATCTGTCGGTGTGTCTGGTGATTAATAGCTCGACCAGAGCCGTCAGTTCTTTCTCCTTGTCCATCATCCTGGCCTAGCAACTTCTCCAGCTTAACCCGAACGTTTTTTCGCCAAGTGGCAATGTTTCGTAAAGTTCGCCAAGAATTGGGAACTCAAATGAAAACAGACTGCACTTCGAGTCTTCGAAGGCTAAGTCACTTGAATATCTCGATTCATTTCTATAACTAGCAAAAGACTCAAAAACGAAGTGGTATGGTGTTTAGTGATGTTCTACCACATGCGTGGTCTGGTGATCGAATCCCATATCGGTGAGACAACGGCTCTAGAAGAATGGAAGCCTTCCACTCTCCCGGAGTCGTTTAAGTGATACCAGATTCGTTCGGGAGGATGGAATCGTTGGATTGAACATCGTCTGGCCACAGCGAGTCATTGTCTAGGCCCAGAACCCATTCAATCGACCACTACGATTCTGAATGGAATTCGTTTGGCGACGCATCCCTAAACGGAATCGACTAAGGTCGGAAGCCGTTATCTTCAGTTTACAAAGAGCTTAACCGACTACCGTATCTCGGTATCTCCTGAAATTAGCTCAAGGAACAATAAAGTTATTAGGTATTCCGATTAGTGAGCACGGGCGTCATGCTATTTCTGAAGAATGAACCCCTTCCCTTCTCTCTTTACGCGACTCCCATTCCCCTCCAAGAAAGCCAAGATCTCCTACGTGGGATCGGGATAGCGGGGCAATGTTTGCAGAACCCAAACTTTTTCACACCCATTTGATCTCCCCAGTTGATCCCACCACGAATTTGAAATCGATCCGCTGTTCTCGATAGTTGTTGGATGAGAGCCATTCCTCATGACCTTGTTTAACGCTTTACCCTTCGATTTTGGGAATTTGTAACTTACTTTACTAAGTCTTTATTAGTATTTCTCTTTTTTCTACTTCTATACTGCTGAGATGCTCATCTCTATTTTCTCTAGTACTTACATGACCCCCCACTTTTCAGTTTTTATGGCCAATCATTTTTTGATGTGTTGTGGCCAGCCATGTTGCAAACATCACGAGGTATTACTGTGTATTACTATTACAATGATAATCAATCACATAGGCAAAGGCGATAGACAAAAGACTAAAAGGCTTGAAAGAAATGATAAAAGCTGAGTGTACAGTGAGGTTTGCAATTGGGAGATGCGATTAATCTTAAACTATAGAGCTGCCCATCGGCCCGACTCAACTCAGAGAGGGAGGTGACCAGGAAAACAAATGTATTACACTCTGTCTGAGGGGAACAGAAGCGTTTTTCAGAGGATTTCCCTGAAATCCGCGATTTTTTTCTGAGAGAAACCCCACCTCAGCTATTCTTGCTTTCTTTCCTAGAAAATCCGAAGAAAACTTAGGCCGAATTCGACAAAACTAAGATATTAGACAAAAAAAAATGGACGATCTGGAGTCGAGAAAGGAATCCTATTCCTTGGGATGTAGCCAACCGAAAGTCAAAAGATGCTTAGCCTTTTATGATTGAGCCATGACATTTGTTGAAGGTCAATATTCATTCCTGACATTGTGATTGGGGAAAACTTTCGTGTGTGTCGAGTGGTGTAATTATGCCACACATATGGTAATGTATCCGAAATGAAATGCTCAAGCTCCTCTCTCGTTTCCATTGATATCTGAGCATGTCTGCTAATCTTTCTGCTTATTTAATCGCTTCCCTAATTCTAACTTTTTACCTTGTTTTGCTGTTATGCGTTTCTCTTTTGCCTTGCTTTGGACCAATTTTCCATAACTTTCTAACTTCTAGTTTCCTTTTGTCTATGTGTTTGATGGGCACACCCTGGAGGTTTATTTAAATAAATAAATTATGGATCGAGGATTCAGTTTCGGAACGATACCCTCTCCAATCGAGCCCTGAAGCATTCCTTAACCGGTAGCATACGCTTCCACAAACATGAAAGCACTGACCTGTCCATCGACGAACTGGTCGAGTAATTGTGCAAGCCGGAGCCGGAGCCGCTCGAATACCGGTCACAATTTTTAATATGCGGTGTGACTACCTGGAAAAGAGAATTATAGAAACAAAGCGATAGATTCATTTTGGGAGTAACCTATGTCTTTCCGGGAAAAGCCTTTTGCAAGATCGCTAGTGAGATAGTGTTGGCTATGGCGGAGCATGCACCGTACGGGGCACCTCCTAAACCAAGCAAGCCTTCCATAACTTCTGGGTCGGTTAATTTGTACCAAACTCGTTTATGACTATAAAAGCATTAATCTGTACATCGGCTACATTACCTTGGCCCACACGCGATTGAGGAGCATTGCAATCTTAAATGTATTTCGAATCCGTGGGTGCTTTTCTTCTTTTGACGGGAATGAACAAAATCAAAAACCTTAACTTCCTTAATGACACCCCTAGATTCCTATCCGCTTCCCCTTCACTATCCCCATGCCCATCAAAATCTTTCCACGGGGAAAACTACTAGAGGAGGAAATTCCATGACTACACAGTATTATACAAGTTGATATGGCCCGAATACAAAGCTTTTTTGAAGCAATTACCTTTTCACCTGCTAGAACCTTTTCGACCCTCTTACGATCCCTCTGCTGCGCATCACTCCAGTGAGGCCTTGAAACACCACGAAATCGACGGGCCTCCTGACTTGCTCACCAAAAACGACCATCACCAGTTCAACATCTCCAGAACAGGTTGCATTTGGGGTAAGAACGATAAACCGTCATCAAAATAAAAGTAGGAGGGAATTTGACTCATTTCACACCTCAGAATAAATATCTAGTGATATAAAATTTTTTTTTCTGAATCAACATTTAGTATGATTACATTTATTGTTTCATATGAAACTAAGAAAAAACAATAATCAAGTTGCACTTCTATGCATCACTGTGCGAGCGACCAAAGGAACAGAGCTACTGCCGCGACATCGATAACCGCGACGCACAAGTCCGCGTCGCGTTCAGCCCTTTATACTTTCCGATGCATAGATGTGCTCAATAAATTACTGTACAAACATATAATATATAAAACATGCTTATCGATGGGTTTACAATTAATTACAACCAACGATTCGCATCTCTGTACAAAATGCTTAAAACAGCACTATTAAGGCTCTTACTGGTAGGTCATGGTGCGAATTTCACGCGCGGCGGACCGAATAACTTTATATTTGCCGCCCACGCGGAATAATCGCGCTACGACTTTTCAGTACTCAGCCATATGATTATTACAACAGTGTTGACAGATGCATGTCTCAAAAATGAAGTATCAAGCAAATCGAACCTAACGTCACCTTGAGTGACACATATTTTACAACCGGTGACAAGAAACACCTTTTTCGTCGAGTGGATCAGACGGTCAACGCTGCTAAATAATGTAGAGATTCTGATTAGTCAACAGGAAACACGCGACGCAGCCGCACGCGCGTGTTCCGAGTACTTGAGCAGCGTCCCTGTCCACAAAACGAAACATAGTAATCAGTTATTCGAGAAGACATGCATATACTCAATCTAAGGGGGTAAGCATGCGAGAATAAATATCATACTAATGCTAAGAAACTTATAAAATACACACATAAAAAATTAAATCAAAGAATCGGTCGTAGGGGACTTGGTTTTCGACTAGTAAGGATCCGAACAACCGAGACATTCTAGGGCTACGCCAAGCAAATGTTATTTTTGCATCAATCCGCTGCATCCTAATCGATCGATAACTATGTTTTTCTCGCGAATATCTCGATTGTTGCCTTCGATGGCGATACGAGCCGAAGCTCTGTGCTCTGAATGGGTGCACTCCTAGACAAGGGTTCCAGGCTCCACAAGAAACGAGTCGATTTCGTGGTAGACGCTGGATTCAGTTATCAGACTAATGTCGCCGGGGGGCGACTTTTCCCTGTTGTCTCGGGTAGGTGACGAGTATCGCGGAACTGTTGAATGTTGGTCACATATCGCTTTGGGTTCCACTTCCATGGCTTTCGGGAAGTTCTAAATAGGGAAGATATTAGAGAAATTGTTTGTTTGACAACAAGACAACCTTCGTAGGCTTCTGGATGGATAGGATGTCCTTCTTCAATGGCAACACAATACTATCCAGAGCGAAAACCTTCATTCTTCCTCGATTGATCCAATTTTGCACAACGGGGGTTCGCACAAACTTCACAATCGCGTAGATAGCTGCACCAATCAATACGGCAAGTATAAATGCCATGAGAACTGAAAAAAATCATTTGGATTTCTGATTTCTGCCCAGAACCCTACTTCGTATACTCCAACAGTAACTAAAGGGAGAACTACATGAAAAGTCCAACTATGACCCTTTCCAACCTATGCAGGTGCAAGCGAATACCGTATTGTCTACACAGACTTACCGTAATCTATCGGTGCGACTACGTAAACAGTGTTTATTGTAGGTTCAGAAGCTGGGACTACTATCGCATCAGTAGCTGTGGTAACGCTTGTTGGAGTAGAATCTGAAAAACTAAGTATAGCTCCTAAGAGGCTGGCCTGACAGTTACTGCCAGTGGATCGCCTCCGGGCTAGGCACAAGTTATTTACAACCATCTAAGCCACTTCCACTTATCTGATCACTTTTGAGTATATCATTTATGACCGCCCTGTTTGAGCTCCCCAAAAGTGGTTCAGAAATATTCGAATTCCACCGGAATCAATAAGAAAATCTTACATTCACGAGGATTTCGGGCCACTTATCTGGCCCTCTCCCTCTGCTTCTCATGAATGGAGGAATGTTATCTTGTCTGGTTATAAAAGTGAAGGGATTGCACGCACCTGTCGGCACTCGGTTCTTGGTAGACGGTATTCCAGTGGAGACAGCTGACGCTGTTGCACTGGGCATGGTGGACACGACTCCCTCAGTCGACAGTCTTGACGTGGTGGTTGTTTCTGAGAAGACAAGTAATCTTGATTTCTTCTCGACCCTTTAGAACTGCTGGTACAGAAGACTCACCGATTTTTCTTGTTGAAAACCTACCAGTGCTAACTGATGGTGGTGATGGCGTAGATGAGCTGGGCTGAACCGGCTCCTCAAGAGAGATTTCGGGTCTTGCTGAAGTGATGTGAATTTGCAGAACAATCAACCGATCCTACGCAGGGCCAGAGCACCAAAACTGACCGATATTGCAGTCCTTTCCAGTCCATCCAACCAAGCAGACCTTTTCCCCACGTGGATCACAGACGTAGTTAGCTCCATCTTGTTCCAGACACTGACGGGAACACATAACACCATAAAAGGGTCTGCAATGATTCGTTATCAATAAGAGAAGGCTTCCAACATCTTGATGATTTCAAGTGAAGGGCGAATACATGGCGCATCTGTACTCAACCAACAGGAAGCTTGTTTGTCTTTCCACTAACGTGGAAAACAGAGATTCATCAAGGCCCACCTGTCACAGACCGTCACGAACTCCATTATTATGCCCTTTGGGACAGATATACGTTCAGCTGGAAGTGCTCCATCGACAGTAATCCGGTTCCTCAGCCTTCGAACGGATCCTGAAATGAAGTGGATACTGTATGCACAATTTTTTGGCTTAATAACAAGTAAAGCAGGGTGTAAAGTAATTCATACTTCCGACGCCATCGACGATTTCCAACTCCACTGTGACGTGCTCCTGAACAAAATATGATTATTGATTGGCAGCTATATATCGGTAATATTCATTAAGAGATTCAGTGAGGTTTACTGCTCAAAATTAACTTTCACTACATAGAATTCATGAGAAACCGGCGATCAATATCGATCAATAAATGGAAATCCTGCTAGTGCAGTTGCACTTACCGTAGTAAGATTCGTGAGCCTTAGGTCAAGAACAACTTCCTTTCTGTTGGATATTTTCAGTTCACCGGATAACAGGCATTTCTTGCCAAGACTCTTCATTGGATATGGTAATTCGGTGAAACAATACTGAACACGAAGATGTTGCTCCGATAGAATCCGCACCAGGAACATACCGGAACTGGGCTGCAAGATAATTAATCCTCCCCAAAAGCAAAGGGTGACCATTTACAAAAGCACCACCTATCCTGTGAACGCTCCGCCCATGGTGGGTTGGGCTTCGCAGGGTTGTGTGATGGAAAAACATATTGGGTAGATCAAAATACAAACCAGATTAGTAGCTAATGTCGAATGTATCAATATGGCTACTAGAAAATATGGAGTGAACATTGTAGAACCTCGCTAGTCCTACCACCTAATAGTGGATCCTGAAATTCAAATTATCATTGGAAAACTGTAATCCCATGAAAGGGACTTCGAACCAGAAAAAACATCTGACTGACAAAAAAACAGTAAAAAAGTCCCAAATTCCAGATTTGAGACAAAGCAACGGCAGGAAAACTGTAATCCCATGAAAGGGACTTCGAACCAGAAAAAACATCTGACTGACAAAAAGAAAAAACAGTAAAAAAATCCCAAATTCCAGATTTGAGACAAAGCAAAGGCAAAATGGTGGTATTGATCGAGGAGACTATTCTGAATTTAATCCATCGGCTTTCTCTACAATTTAAGGTTATACTGTAATCTAGGGTCCTTACGACTGAAAGTAAACAACGATCAGTGGGATATCAAGCCACCCCCGCTGTAG